TTATTTTATTTTTATATTTAAATTTTATTAAAAAAATTATCAAATACTATCCATCATATTTATCTATTGATATTTCTGCTAGTAAAAATATTAAATTTAATTGATACAGTATAATTATCTTAATATATTATTTTTAAATATATTATTTATGATTTAAGATAATGAAATAAAAAATTTTAAAATTTTAAAATTATAAAATTAAAAAAATAATTTTAAATTTTAAAAACTAAAATTAAATTTCTTTAATTTTAGGAACTTAAACATGTTGAAGCCTATTTTAAATATAACTTTTTTGGTCTTCGCTTCTTGTTTGGTTGACACATATGGTTGTGAAAATTAATCATGAAATCAACTGTAAGTAAGACAAATGACCAAATGCATGTCACTCTAAGGATTTGGTGGAGCCTCCAAAAGCATCTGAGTGATGACTGTGGCAAATTGGTTGAGCCTGCACAACAATTATTTGCATCTGCTGAATGAGATCCATTTATTTGTCTTTCACTCTTTATATTATAGTATCTATTTCTGCAGTACACATGCAATATGCATGAAGCATGCAGTTCTATTAATTAATTATTCAGTAATGCTAGCTACTTCCAATCGTGTTAATTTCCTTTTCTTCTTCTATCATCGTCATTACAACATTCTCATATTGGGAGTTTGGTCGTGAAAATCTTAAGCTGAAGAACTATTTTTCTTAGATTGTCTCATTATTATAACAATTAATATATAACAGTTTCCATATAAGAATCTTATTTATAATTTTATATAATCAACCATTTTTAATATGTAATGTTTAAGCATGTAAAAGGCAACTGGCAGCTGTTGAATCTATTCTAAGTTCTTAAAAGACTGAGTTATTAGAGAGAAAACTTGTCCAAGTTCTTAAATCTCATACCATATTGCCTTATATATATACAACCATATTAATAACACGATTGAAGATACTTATTATTATTATTATTATTTATTTTTTACTGTCTTCAGGATCACATGAGAGATTTTGGCAGCTACATATATAATTTGATGCAAAGAGATTTTGTAACTTTGATACGGTCACGACCAGCTTTAACGTTATGTAGAAAGAAACATGAAAGGTAGCACAGGGCCAGAAAAGTTCACGAACTATATATATGAAGCAATTAATGCAGGGATCAGCAATGCAAAGCATTAGCCGATCACGTACTGTTGTTCAGAAAACAAGGCTGCTAGCAACATTCAGAAGAAATTGATTGATTGAGTCTGCTAAGTAATAAATATTATAATTATTATTGCAGTGGAGTACTTTAACATATGCAGTGTTTGAGGATATATATTAACAATGTAATCTACTATAATTAGGTGGAAACACAACTAGACAATACAAACTAAATACAAGAATGTCGGTGTCCAATGTTTTGCATAGCCGTGACGTAAATAGATAGATATATAATTAGTGGTAAACATCAGATTAATTTGACGGGTAATTAATACTGCAATATTGAACATGTATTTGTGTGTTTGTGTTTATCCTATCGATTAACATGATCATGAAGAAAACAAAATGTAATGTGCTCCATAACGTCGTTTAGCAAGTATTTTATTAGTCTTCAACAACTTGATAATAAACATTCACAAATTGGTTTCTATATAGGTTAGCGAAGTAATTGATACTTACATTCTAAAGTGAGAAAAAGCTTAGCGGATGTAATTCTATGCCAATTCACCGAATGCGTGAATTAATTAGTGAAAGAAAAAAAAAGTTATGTTGTAATATGTGCTCTATAATAATATATTATTTATTATTAAAAATTATTTTTATTTACCCTATAAATATAAAATATATTAATATATTAATATAATATTAATATTAAAAAATATAAGTATATAAATTATAGTAACATATAATATATATTATTAAATCTTATTAAAAATTAAAATTAAAATTATGTGTAAATATATATTAAGTAAATTTACACATATATATTATATTTATAATAACACTTTTAATAAACATGATCATGAAGAAAACAAAATGTACTACTGTATTGTATTTATAATAGGTGTTTTGGACTACTGTATTGTTCGGATCTGGGCCGGGCTTAGTAGATAGCAAGGTTTGTACAAAACTTATTGATTTAGGCCAGAAGCCCATAAGGCCTAACAAACATTGTAAAGCCCCAAAACCATGTAGGTTGGTTGCTTCATTTGGAACATAGCAACAAGCCAACAACTAAACATTTGGAAACATGGCCGTCCCAACCAATCAGGGTTTCTACACTGTTCTTAGATGACAGCTGTTAGTAGCTTTTAATCTCTTTTAAATTTAGAGGAGTTCATGAGATTGATGGAGACGAATTTACTATAGTCTAAATTTTTTAATTAATTCCACAGGATCAGAATAAGATTGGATTAACACCACTTGTTAACATAATATATTAATTTAGATTAAATTATATTTTTATTCTTTTATTTAATTTTTTAGGTTAATTTTATTTTTATCTATTAAAATATTTATTTTGGCTATTTATCTTTTATATGTAAATAAATTTGATCCTTTTAAAATAATGATTATTTTCAATTTTACAACATAATTTTGAATTAACTTTTGACTAATTTAATACTTAAAACTTGTAACATTAGATCCACTTATATAAAAAATTATGAAATGCAATAAATGTTTGAATTCAAAAAGGGTTATAAACTTAGTAAAAATTATGAGAAAAATATATCTCATTAACAAGTAGAAAATAATATGAAATAAAATCTTAGAATTTTTATTTTTATTTTTATCATGTGTTATAACACATTTGATTTAAACTTTAATTACATTTAATAGTTTTTATATAAGTTAATCTTATAAGACAAGTTTCAAGTCTTGAATCAACAAAAAAAAAGATTTAAAAGGACTAAATAGATAAATGATCAAAATGAACACTTTAAAAGATAAAAGACCAAAATGAATCTAAAAAAAAAATAAGATAAAGAACAAAAAATGTAATTTAAATATTAGTTTATATAGTTAAATCATAGAATTAAAGAAATACATAGTTTTGATTAGTCAATTCTTATATATTAAACATGAACATCTATCATACACAGGAGTATTTTTAGGATTTTTTTTGGTAAAAGGATTTGTAGAATTTTTTTAAACTTTTTTTTATCTAATTCAATTTTTTATTTATCATAATTATTTATAAATTAAATATTAATATTTTAAAATTAATTATCAATAAATAATTTTTTTTTATTATGATATAAATTATTTATTATAAATCTAAAATACAATTTACGTGTTTAAAAATATTTATATATACTAATTTTAAATATAATTTATATATTCAAGTATAATTTATATATAATTTATTATAAAATTTAATTATATAATAAACATGTATGCACATTGCAAAAACTAAAATACTAGTACAATATATATTTTAAAGCAAACAATATCAACATATTGTGAGAGTCTATATCAGTTTGCTGAACAAACCATGTGACTTATTGTAAACTTTCTTGATGCTGAATTGATGAATTTGATTCTCACATTATAAAATATAGTATCAATATACATATAATATTATATTATACAAAATATTGTTTTTAAGTAAACAAGTTGTATTTTATATATAGTTATTTAAAAATTATACTTTTTTGTTTGTTGAAAGAATATGTATGTTAGCTTGAATTTAAATAACCTGAAATATGACCTAGTTTATTTTTACAATATACCGAATTTAAATTCTTAAATCCAAACTTGTAGAAAAACAAAAATCCTCAAATTGGACCAAATTTGTAGGACAAATGGATAATCAGCCCAATCTTAGATTTGTGTGGGCGTATTTATTCGAGGGTAGACTGTTGGATGACTCTTTTGGAGACGTTGTTTCTTCTTTTTGGGCCTTTCTCGGCCTGTGAATGTGACAATGGATTTTATTGGGAAAAAAAAACTACAAAGGTTTATCTAAAATTAGTTCCTCATGAAAAAAAGACAACTAAAGAAATAATTTTACCTATCAAATAATTCACAAAGGATAATCCATCTCAATTATTAGTTTTTTTTTTATTTAAAACGATTAAATTATATAAATAATGATTCCTTTTAGGTTTCTTCTAAAAATTTTAAAAACTAATAAAACATATTTTGACAAATAATTTTCAGGAACTTAGTTCTTTTTATTTCTTATTACTAAAAAAATTCCTTTATTTTTCTTTTACAGCCCTTATTATTCGTGTGAGATCTTCATTAAAAATTTCAAGGAGGTTCTTAAGCTCCAACAAATATTTTAAAAGTTTATAATTAATCTTACATATTTTAATTTTAAAATAGTATCAGATATGTCTATTGGTTATAAATATTTTCTTTTTAAATTAATACTATTTATCAGCCCTATATTCCTTTTATCGGTAATAGTTGAAACCAACAACTTTACAACAACTCATGTCATTTATAATTAGGGTTACAAAGTTAAGCATCTTTAAAACAGTATATGGCATATAAATATATTTACAATTTTATGTTTCACCAATACTGTGCAGTATATTCGACAAATAATTATGCATATTAATCATGTGGTTAAAATATTTAATGAGAGAGTTCAATCTCCCAAATAGATTTTTGTATTAAGAGATTTTTTTTCTTCTAGAATATACTGAACAACTATTTTTTTCTTTCACTTTATTATTTTATTTTATTTTATTATGACATATCATCTCTTACAACTTTTATTTTCTCTTTTTTTTTTTCGTATTTCTTTTTCTCTCATGTATACGTATCATCTTTGAAAAATTGCCATGATGAATCATAGGTTGTAGAATTGACCTTACCAGTTTCTAATTGTCTCTAGCCCCTTCTTTCCTCTTTACATGTGGATTTTGATTTTTGTCGTGCGTGAATTATAAGGCATGACATGGGACCATGCGAACGTGTCATGCCATGCAAGCTTAGTCAATGGAGTGTAATCTCACATCTCACTCTCAAATCTCAATCCTATGTAATCTTATCTTGTTTACTGTTCCACTGTTGGATTTTTCACCCCTAGACCCTTCTTTTGTCTCCTCACTCACTCTCCCTTCCTAGGATACTCATGGCCTCCACACTTACTCTTCTGACTCTTCCTCTCAAACCAACCCCAAAACTTCATCCACTTCCCCACATCTCATCAAGATTCAATGTTCCAAAAGATCCCCCCATTCCCAACTCAAACAAATTATTGAATCAAACTTGCAATGTTCTCAAAACAACCTCACTTTCCCTCCTACCGATCACACTTCCCTTCTTGTTAGACCAAAAGGCAAGGATCCACCCTGGTTGATTTTATACACAAGTATCCGATTTTTCTTTGGATACATTTTTTCAAAAACAATTCCATGACGAAAAAATAAGGAAAAATAATAAGTTTAAATATATAAACTAATTTATAAAAGTTATTTTCAATTAGTTTTTACAAAATTTTATTTTTAATTTATACATAGTTAAGAGAAATTTTTCAAATCAAACTTTTATTACTCTTTAAAGGGTTAATTTGTCTCTCACTTTGTGGCATAACTATTGTTGAGACAGGACCTTGCACTTGCTGTTGATGGGGAGTTTGGGATACTTGAGGGCAGAACATTTGCTCTCATACACCCCATTGTGATGATTTCTTTGTTCTTGTATACTTTATGGGCAGGGTATTTGGGGTGGCAGTGGAGGAGAGTTAGGACTATTCAGAATGAGATTAATGAGCTCAAGAAACAAGTGAAACCAACCCCGGTCACCCCAGAAGGTAAAGCACTAGAAGTGCCACCATCACAAGTTGAAATCAAAATTCAGCAACTTACTGAGGTATCCTTGCTTTTGTTCCCATTGTTATATATCCTGCAAATTTCTTTATGGTGATTCAATACTTGTCTTAAAATAACCTATTCATTGATTTAATGAAATTCATTTTCTAAATTATTAGTAGGACCCTGGATTATATTAGGTCATTAGCCGAAAAGCTTGCCTCATGTATGTTTTTTCTTTGAGTAAATTACACTGATATAATATGGTTTTACAAAATTTCAGATACATCATCAAATTTTTAATACTTTATACTAACTCTCGATAATTGTTTGAAAAAATATAACTCAAACACTCCTAGATATTAATTATATTATCTTCTTTTAATTGTTTAAAAAACATTATACCCTATCTTCCTTTAAGATCTGTGGGGTTGTTCTGTTAATTACTGAGTGTTAGATTGAAATTGGAGACAATATAATGTATGAATTACTGAATTATGAGGAGTACCTAATTCTAATTTATTGGCTTCTAAAATTCAGGAGAGGAAAGAGCTGCTGAAAGGGTCTTACAGGGATAGGCACTATAATGCAGGGTCCATACTTTTAGGATTTGGAGTGCTTGAGTCTGTTGGTGGAGGACTCAACACTTGGATTAGGACAGGAAAACTATTTCCAGGTCCACATCTGTTTGCAGGAGCAGGTAACAATTTTAAACTTGCATTTGGTCATAGAGGGTAAAGATTTTGAAAGATGAATTGAAATAGTTTCACAATTTTGTTAGCTTTTTCAACAGAATGATCAATTTGAAAAATATAACACTTATCTCTTGTATTGTTGTATTTTAGTTTTCAAAGTGGTGATCATAGTTAGGCAAATTTTGTGTGCAGCTATTACAGTGTTGTGGGCACTTTCAGCAGCTTTGGTACCATCGATGCAGAAAGGGAGTGAAACAGCCAGAAGTTTTCACATTGCATTGAATACATTAAACGTACTACTATTTGTGTCACAGATTCCCACTGGATTTGACATTGTACTCAAAGTGTTTGAGTTCACAAAATGGCCTTGAATGTGAATGTTCCCTTGGATTTGGATCTATTCCAATCCAATTTTTTGCAACACCAGAATCACCCCACTTTTCACATTTTAAGATCACCTTTTTTGAATAAGGTGCAGAAGTATGTTTGATTATAGTGAAACAGACTATGATAAATGTGATTGTAAGTAATTGAGTAGTGAAATTCATATTCCAAAAATATATTGGAAGTTATATAAATGCAGCCAATGTTGTTGTCTAACAAGGTAGCCAAGTGAAGATATGCGTCGACTTTTCTTTTTTTAATATCAATCATAGTTATTTTTTTTTTCTCGTTAAAAAAATTACATAAATATTAATGAAATTTAAATATGCTTCTAGTTTTTAAAACTTAAAATATATTTTTTAATTTTTATTTCCTGTAATTTAAAATATATATATATATATATATATATATATATAATTTTAGTTTTTAATCCAAATATAGATACTAAATTTTTTATACAAAATTTACTTATTACATAAAATTTATTCATTAATGTCCTTATATCACAACTTAAATTCTCTCTCTCTCTCTATGTATATTAACTAAAAATAAACAAATAATGAATTATATTCTCTCTTACCCGTCTTTTTCATGTGTCATTTTTTCTAAATTTATTTATGTAACGACCCGACTGGTCACTACACATAGCACAACACACCAGAACACCACACAGAAAAAAATAAGTATATACATATAGTGTCTAGAATATATATATATATACAAGGTCCAAATCTGGCTAGAGCTAGAGTGTACAAAATACATCCAACAATGCTACACTAAGTAGCTAAATACAACAATAAAAACAAACGCCATCTGCCAGCTGCAGACTCTCCTCAGCACACCAACCTAACCCTGCTCTACTCCCATACATAGTATGATCATCGCAGTCTAAACCACATGGAAACAACAAAGGGTAAGCTAGTGAAAGAAATCAACATACATATATAAAATATGAATGGTAAATAGCTACAACTATCAGTATATCAGCCAGCTTAACAACATCAGCCCATAATATATCACAGCATTCAGCAATAACAGCACTGCATAGCGGCAATAACAGCACTGCATAGCAGCATTAACAGTACTGCATAGCGGTAAAAATAGTACCACATAGTGGCAATAACAGCACTGCATAGTGGCAATAACAGCACCACATAGTGGCAATAACAGCACCGCATAGCGGCAATAACATTACACAGCTCAGCATTAAACAACACAGCCAAACAACTCACAGCCTAGCTAACATAGCTCAAAGTACAACACAGCACAGATAAACAACTAAACACGGTTCACAGCATAACTTAAACATCTTAATTCAGCAGTAACATTTAACAATACAACATATTCATCAATTTCAGCTAAGCACAGCATATAACCACATTTATCAGCATGTGACTAAACATCACCTCCATGCCCGGCGCACTCATGGTCGCGCCTAGCGCGGCACGACCAGAGAGCACCAGGGGCCAGCGCGCCCGGCATAAGAGTCCCCACGCCCAGCATAGACTAGCCAGAGAGCTCAAGGCTCAAAATGCACCCGGCGTAATTCCAATTGCGCCTAGCGCAAACCCTAGGTAGAGACTCTAAGGAGTCTCACGTGCCTAGCGTGCCTAAACCCGTGCTCGGTGCAGGGAAGGCAGAGACCTCCCCAAGGTCTCGCGCCCAGCGCAATTCAAATTGCGCCTAGCGCCCCCTTGGCAGAGACTCCCAAGGAGTCTCCACGCCCGGCGAGACAAGGTTGCGCCCGGCGCAGCACTGGAAAACCCCAAACATGTTACCTCCTGATATCACGCCCGGCGCGGTCCAAGTCGCGCTCGGCATGGGCCATCTAGAGGCTCACATTCTCAAGCTCGCCCGACGCACACATCTTTGCGCCTGGTGGGCTTGCCTAAATGGAGCCCCTAGGTGGTCACGCGCTCGGCACGAAGAACGACACTCAGCGCGATGCTCAGCAGCAACCCTCAAACTTTCAAAATCTTCATCAAATCCTGCAAAATCAACTAGAAAACCAACATGCAATCCATCCAAAAGTCCACATTTCCATAAAAGAATTCAAAAACATCATCTTTTCACACATGCAACCACAATTCAAAGAAAACCCCAAATTTTCACCCAAACCCCGGAAAACCCGAAAACGAATTTCCTCCCATTTCAATCATCAATACACAACAATCAGCCTATATGTGAGCTTCTAGCTCACTCCCAACAATCAACACAGCCAAAACTAACTTCCCTTACCTCGGTACAAGAATCCCAAGCTCCGGGACGAAGAAGATAATGGAGAAGAAAGCTTGATCGGAGGAGAAAATGAATGGAAAGATGAGACGAGGAAGAAGAACTTCAGCCAGCTCTGAATTCCACTAACCAACACCTAAGTTACCACAGCCACCACAAGGAAGAAAATGGGCAAGTGAGGAGAAGTGAGAGTCTGAGTGAGAAAGAGAGTTAGAGTGAAAGTGAAGGAAGAAAGGAGAGGGAAATGGGTCTCATAACCTCCCCTACAACAGGAGTTTTCGTCCCTGAAAACAAACTTACTTGGGAAGAGAAACGGATACCGCTCCCTGCACTGCTGCTCCACCTCCCAAGTAGCCTCACTAGTAGCCGCATCCCACAACACCTTCACCAGAGCAATGGACTTGCCCCTCAGCTCCTTCAGCTTATGATCAACCACAGCTACTGGCAACTTCTCAAATGTCAGATTCTCCTTCACCCGCACATCATCCAGCTCCACCACATGACCAGGGTCATGAATATACTTCCTCAGCTGGGATACATGAAATACATCGTGTAGGTTTGAAAGAGACAGTGGCAAGGCCAACCGATAAGCAACCGGAACTACACGCTGTATTATCTGATAGGGACCAACAAACCTCGGTGTCAACTTCCCCCACACGCTGTATGATCTGATAGGGACCAACAAACCTCGGTGTCAACTTCCTTGCCTTCAGCACTCTACCCACACCAGAAGTCGGGGTCATCTTCAAAAACACATGTTCCCCTTCAGCAAACTCCAAAGGCTTACGCATTTTATCAGCATATGATTTCTGCCTACTCTAAGTAGTCTTCATTCTCTCCTGAATCATCTTCACTTTGTCAGTAGTCTGTAGGATTAGCTTCGGTCCCACAACCACTGACTCACCATCTTGATACCAGTACAAAGGAGTCCTACATCTCCTGCCATACAAGGCTTCAAACGATGCCATCCCAGTACTAGCATGAAAGCTATTATTGTAAGAAAACTCTACCAGCGGTAGGACCTCCTCCCAGCTTCCCAAGTGGTCTAACACACAAGCCCTCAACAAATCTTCCAAGGACTGGATTATCCTCTCTGACTGACCATCCGTCTGTGGATGATAAGCAGAACTCAGCTTTAGTTTCGTGCCTAAGGCTTGGTGTAGACTCTGTCAAAATCTGGAAGTGAACCTCGGATCTCTGTCTGAAATAATACTGGAAGGCACCCCGTGCAACCGTACTATTTCCCTCACATACAACTGCGTCAGCTTCTCCAAGGATCGCTTCATGTTGACAGGCAAGAAATGTGCACACTTGGTCAACCGATCAACTATCACCTAGATAGCATCATTATTCCTAGCCGACCTAGGAAACCCGACGATGAAGTCCATAGTGATACTATCTCACTTCCATTCTGGAATCTCCATCTGCTGCATCAACCCACTCGGCTTCTGATGCTCCACCTTCGCCTTCTGACAGGTCAGACAGGCTGCCACATATTCAGCTATCTCCCTCTTCATACCAGACCACCAGAAAGTCTTCTTGAGGTCTTGGTACATCTTAGTCATACCAGGATGTATGCTAAGTCTGCTCTTGTGGCTTTCCTCCAACACAGCTCTCTTCAGCTCAGCATCATGAGGTAGGCAAATTCTGCCCTTGAACCTCAAGATTCCATCTTCTCCCAGCTCAAAACCAACAGCCTTCTCGGTACCCAGCAAACCAAGAAGTTTTACCAGCTCAACATCTTGCAACTGTTTCTGTCCAACCTGCCTCAAGAACTCACTAGTTATGATAATCATCCCACAACTAATGTGATCCTGAGCTAACTCCACACAGAGATTTAGATCTCTGAACTCCTCTACCAGCTCCAGCTCTTTCACCATCATACTAGACATGTGGATGGATTTCATACTCAGCGCATCTGCCACAACATTGGCCTTCCCAGGATGATACATCAACTAGAAGTCATAATCCTTCAGAAACTCCATCCACCGCCTCTGCCTCATGTTCAGCTCCTTCTGATCAAACAGGTACTTCAGACTCTTGTGATCACTGAAGACGCTGAACCGAACACCATACAAATAATGCCTCCATATCTTCAAGGCAAACACAATTACTGCTAACTCCAAGTCATGAGTGGGATAATTCCTCTCATGGTTCTTCAGTTGCCTTGAAGCATATGCCACTACTTTCCTGTTTTGCATCAGCACGCACCCGAGACCCTGGTGAGAAGCATCACAATACACATCAAAGGGTTCACTAGAATCGGGCAACACCAGCATAGGAGAAGTAGTCAACCTCATCTTCAGCTTATCAAAACTCCGCTCACAGGCATCAGTCCAAATGAACAGCTGCTCCTTCCTTGTCAGCTGGGTTAGAGGTGCTACTATCTTGGAGAATCCTTCAATGAACCTCCTATAGTAACTCACCAAACCCACAAAACTTTGAATGTCAGTGACAGTTCTTGGACGCTCCCACTGCAACACCGACTCCACCTTAGCCGAATCAATAGCAATCCCCTCAGCTGAGATCACATGTCCCAAGAACTTCACTTCATCCAACCAGAACTCACATTTCGAAAGCTTAGTGTACAACTGCTTTGCCTTCAAAATCTCCAGCACCAACCTCAAGTGCTCATTGTGCTCCTCCGGGGTCCTTGAATAAATCAGGATGTCGTCAATGAACACCACCACAAATTTATCCAAGAAGGGCCGGAAGATCCTGTTCATGTAATCCATGAACACTGCCGGGGCGTTGGTCACACCAAACGGCATCACAACATACTCATAGTGACCATACCTAGTCCTGAAAGCAGTCTTCGGTATGTCAACCTCCTTCACCCTGATCTGGTGATAACCTGACCTCAAGTTAATCTTAGAAAACACCGATGCTCCCCTCAGTTGATCCATTAAGTCATCTATCCGGGAAAGTGGATATTTGTTCTTAATGGTCAACTTGTTCAGCTACCGGTAATCCAC